ACAAAGAATGAAATCCTGAACCAGGTTAGTGTGAGCCGTTTAGAAAAAAGGGCAACAACCTTGCACTGAGTGCTCCTTAACATGGAAAATATGAGTCAACATCAGGCAAGGGATGAAAACAGGCAAGTGTTCACCACCCAGTTACACTCTCTTTCCAGTGTGCTCTCGCCAAACCCGCACATTCCTGCTGCAGACAGGGAAGGCCCGAAGGTCCGCCTCAGAGACCGCCTCAGGAAACAGCAAGCAGGCGCCAGCTGTGGCTCCAGTATGGGTGCCATGGTGTTCCCTCCTGGCTCTCCCAGGAAGGAACATGCCCTTGCTTATTCTCCAGAATGCTCTGGGTCTCTGGGTCCCTCTCCCCCCCAGAGATGTGGGCCTGCTACCTTGTTACAGCCCAGCGTGAGATCAACACCTGAGGCCAGCTCCAATCCAAGATGAGCTCATGATTGCTGCCGGGGAACCAGCTCCCCAGCCTCCAACAGCATTTGCAGCTGGAAAGACTGGCCTAAATGCAAAACAAATGCTATTTTCAGGAGAGACTTCTGGGGGGGAGGGGAAAGAACAAAGCTAAAACCACCAAGAGAGTACACCAGACCAGAACATTCCATGACATGCCGTACCTAAAAAGGGCTTTTAAAACACATTCTCAAGATACGGTCATTGCAAGGGGCGAGCTGTGAAAGTTAAATAAAAACCCCTGGCCCTAGAAAGACAGGAATGAAGGACTAAATGATAGAATAGCTTATTGTATTAAGCTAATTAAGGCTTATCACATTAGCCATCTGAGTTTTCGTTGGCACCAGAAATGCAGGGGCCAACACAGCATGCAGTATAGATTGGAATATGCTCGACAAGCATTATTTCTACCACAATTGTCTGCAGAACTCTGGCAGTCGAAAATGAGGTAGAATTGAAAACCAATTTTAGCACAGTGATTTGCAAAGAACCTTGTTCATCGTGGAAGCTATTTGCTGGTATATCCGTCTGAGATCACATTTATCTCTATTAAATACTACATAAAATATTCCGAGCTAGCCATGCACTCTAGTCTCCCCCTTTCCTGACAGTGCTGGCACACAGGCGACTCTCTGCAGTGTCCCGTCCCTCCCCTCCCCCACGCCGCCCCTAAAAATTCCAACAATAAAAACCCCTGGATACTTAATGCCCTTCACTGCTGACAGACTGCCCGCCACTGCCAGCACACAACTTCACCAATTCTAAGATCCTTCGCATTTCTGACTAGACTAGTCTGCTGAAGCCAGAGAGGACATGATACGCACTTCAAAGAGAGAAAATGTATTTGCAATCAGGTCTCCCATGGGCTCCTCTTGACTGCACTTTTACCAAACCAGCAGAAAGAAAGGCAGAACCAGCTCTGCTGCTGAGATCATATTGGACCTGACTGGTGTGACTGGTTTCCTGTTTGGGGAAGTTGCAGTTCTTTGCACAAGGAACCCCCAAGGCAAAATGTTTAGTGTTCTCCTGGAAGCAACCACAGCCTTTGTTCCTCGCTAATTTGCTGCCCTCCTCTCCTCTCCTCTCCTCTCCTCTCCTCTCCTCTCCTCTCCTCTCCTCTCCTCTCCTCTCCTCTCCTCTCCTCTCCTCTCCTCTCCTCTCCTCTCCTCTCCATCTCCATTTTTTTTGCCGGCCCAATTCTAACTGCAGGAAAGCATTAGACATTTTCTACCACCCACTACCGTAGAGCTGCAAGCTTACAGTCATTTTTACACAGATAAAACCAGACAGACCTGGGTTCCTCCTAGTCCTTCGCTAGTATTCCACACTGAAATGTATGCCACAAATAATCCCATGGCAAACTCACTGTCGACAGCCCCCCAAATCAATAAAAGACATTCCACCACTTGACTGGAAAACCTTTCAGGTCAACACGGAGAGCATGGAAAGAGGAGAGGTGATGGATGAACAAAAGAAGAATCTACCTCCAGGCTCCTCCAATCCTAAAAAGCTGGCTGGGCTACTTCGATTTGATGAAGCTCTTCCTTTTTTCTACAATCGTGGGCAAAATGTGCCATGTGGACTGCTTCTATGCAAAAAACAGTGCATTCTCCACAAGGCCCAGCCGCCTACCACCCTCTAGACATGCCTTTCCAGGCCTGCGTCTTTCAGATGCCCAGGCACATGCGATTTAATGAAGGCATTCAGATGGCTCCTTGATATCAACACCATCAAAAAAGTCAGTGGGACCCGTTAAACATGGATAATGTGTGGTCTCCACTCTGAACCCCACTCATCTCCAGGGTACCAATCCACTGTCGGTCTGTGTCAGAATGGATGTGCAAATTAATATTTAAATTCATGCTAAAAATAGCATATCTCACCTTGTGAACCTTGACCTTTTGAAAAGACTTTGGACCAGTGCTCAGTTACTGTCACACGGTTGCATTCTCTGCAAATAGGAAAGGGTTAAAAGCAGCCCCAGTCAACAGGCCTACAAGGGAGAAAAAAAAAAAAAAAAGACAGCATGTATGGCTGACAGCATCACTGGAACGCATTTATGCTCGTGTCCTAGAACAATATTGTTACCTTTTGGCCTTCATAATAGTCCCAAGTATCCCCAACACCCTTTAGTAGCGTCTACAAGGAAAAGCACAAAACAGAACACAGGCTGCAAGAGAAAAAAAGGCATGCAAAGTAGCAACAAACTGCCATTACAAACCCATCAGTTCATTCTGGTTGTTTCCTTAAAAACACACGGAGAGAGAGAAAGAGAGAGAGAGAGAGAGAGAGACTGTACAAACCAAGTGTCCCCACCCTAATAAGGCACATACTTCTTTTTTCTTTAATAAGGGTCATAAATCTCAGCTCCTTGTCCATCCCTTAGGCAAAAGAAAAAAGGCAGGAAAAGCCCAACTCCTCTGAGACCCTGCAAAGCTGCACCTTTCTCCCATCATCTCTACAGAGGCTCGTCTAGGGTTCCATTAGTCACGTACCAGTGCTGTGTGGGGTCTACGTGTGCGTTTACATACTGTGTTGGGATGGTACCTTCCTGCAAGGTCCTCTGCTTTTGGCTGCCATGAAGGGAGGAAGCTGCTATCCCACTGTAGTAGCTCAGTGACTGCATTGTGTTCAGGAGCTGATCTGCCTCAAACCAGTTTCAGCCGGTTCTGGTCACCCTACATAAAAAAGCTATGGCAACCCTCGCTGAGTTGCCAACAAGTCCCTGAAAATCATCAGCACAGGGTTGGGAGCTGGCTGGGGAGGGGGGGGGGTGCCTCTCCCTTTTAGGGCTTCCTGAGGAGGGAAAGGTCATTGTGTGTGCCCCCTCCACACGAGCACAGAACCCTGGAAATGCTCACCTCACGAGCCCCCCACCGCCTCTCGGGGCTCATCCCCCCCCTCCCCTCCACCCTGAAGCCCACCGCAGACACTGTTTTCCCCCTCCTTCTCTTTTCCCCCACTTACCTCCCACAACCTGGCTCAGATCTTTGTGTACGTGTGTGTCAAGTGTGTGTTCTCTGTGTTGGTGGCTGACAAAGAGCCCCCAAGAAAGCCATCTATGTTGTGTGTCTCCTCACACAGGATGCGTCGGCTGCAGGAGCCGGCCTGGCCTCCTAAGCAGAGTGGTGCTGGTTTGTTGACCAGGCTCCTCTCTGCCTGTCACCCCCCACCCCACCCAGCCCCCTCCTCCCTTCCGTCCTTCTCCTCTCTCTCCCAGCCCTGTCACCACCACCACCACCACCAGCAGCAGCCCCCCCAGTCTCCTCCTCCTCCTCCTCCAACCTTCTCTTCTTTCAAGCACCTGGGGGGGGTGTATGGGGGGGGAGAAATCCAAATCCCTTCACCTCTGGGTAGTACACTGGTGAGGTGTGGGGCGCTGGGGGACCAGTCCAGGGGCAGTAGGGAAAGAGGGGGCACCCAGGCCTTGGGGGAAAAAAAAAATCATCTGTGCACAACCAGCTCTGGCGGGGGAGGCGAGCCCGCGCTCACGTGGCCCCCTCTGGAGCCGGTGGGGCCTAGCAACACCGGCCTTGCCTCGGGCCGCCCCCCCCCCCCTCCAGAAGCTTGGCTGGGCGCGAAGGCCGGCCGTCCCCAAGGCCAGGGTGGGACAGGCCGCCGCAACTCAGGCCAAGGGATGGCCTGAGCCTCGCGCGCTCGCCGGGCCCCGCGGGGTGGCACGCGGGGCCCGGCGCCCCCCCCCTCCCGCCCTCGTCCGCCCGTACCCCCGCGGCCCCCTGTCCCCAGCGCACACCCACCCCCTGGCCGGGCGGGCCTCCGCAGCGCTCAAGCCCGCGTGTCCGGGCCGCGGCTCGGGCGACCTCTGCTCCGCGCGCCGCCGCCGGCGGCTGCTGCTGCTGCTGCGCCCGCTGCCGTGCGAGCGGCGGCGGCGGCGGCGGCGGCTTCCATGCTACGGGCGTGTCGCGCCTCCCCGCCGCCGGGGGTCTGTGTGCGAGAGCGGGAGCCGGGCCTCGCCACCCTGGGGCTCCCCCGCCGCCGCGGCCTCGCCGTGCGCCCGGACGCCGGCCCCCGCTCCCGGGCGCGGGCTCTAGGCCGCGCGGCGGCGGCGGCGGCGGTGGCGGTGGCTCGGCCCGGGCCACGCCGGGGCCTAGCGCTCGGGCCGCCCGGGCGGGCGGGCGGCGAGCGAACAAAAGGGAGCGCGGCGAGGGGGAGGGGGCGCCGTGGGGGAAGGGAGCCCGAGCCGGGCGGCGGAGCGCGAAGCCCGCGGCCGCGACGCCCCACCGGCCCGGCGGCGCCTCGTCCCCCGGGTAGACGGCTGCGGGCGCGCGCTGCGGCCCGGCCCGGCCCGGCCCGGCCCGGAGGTGCTGGGGACGGTGCTGGGGACGGGGCCGAGCGGGGGGCTGTTTGGCTGTCTTTTTCAAACGGACACTTGAGACTCTCACCCAGTCCTTTTCCATGGCCCCAAGCCGCGACTTACTGGAGTGGAAAGAAGCAAGGCCTCGCCAAAGATGGTTGGAAAAAAAAAAAAAAAAAAAAAACGCCCGTGAGCCTCTCTACCCGGGATCTTGAAGCCAAGGTGGTGGTTGTGCTGTCCTCCTCGTAATGGTGGCAAATAAGTAAGAAGAGAGCAAGCTATCTTCAGATAAATTCAATCTGAGATTCTCCCAGGAGGTGGAAGAAAGGGCTCCCTTCTGCTGGTTAGTGGTTTGGAGCCCTTTTCGCCTTAAACTGAGCCACAAAAGAATGGAAGACACCCCTGGGGTGGGAAGAAAGCCCTGGTGTAAAAGACACACGTTTTTGCTTTCAGAGAAAAAGCCACTGGGGCCAGATTGAAGCATGGCATGTTCGGTTCATGTAGGGTGGTGTTTTTTTTTTTTTTTTTAAACTGGGGGAATGATATTGAGTAAACACGATGTTAATAGCTGGGTCTTTTCAGTTCTATAAGGGAAATGGTGCACGAATGTTAACAAGCACAAGTTGTACATACAGCAGGTGGTCATGGCTTACAGAACACAGGCAAAAAGATACATACAGAAACGCAGCCAAAGGCCAGGAAGGGAGATGATCGTCACCCATCTGAGAGGGAGAGAGAGAGCGATTCCTTCTATGCCAGATGAAGTGTGCTGTTTTCCAGCCCTGTGTCCTGGTGCCCATATTGTGCACAGTCGAGCACGCCACTGAAAGGGTTCTTTTTTTTTTTTAGAACAAGAGAAACCTCCATGTCGAGCTAATTGTGCTGACTGGGAGTCGGACAAAATGGAAGGATCTGAAAAAAAAAAAAAAAACTGCCACCATTACCTCCTAAAAAGGCTCTCTCTTGTTTGCTTGTACTCTGAAGACAAAACTATCAGTGGAGGAGCGGTGAAGACTCCCAGCAGAAGCACTCCCGGGTGCTTTATTTTAAAACAGACTGGTGAATGTCTGCAAAGCAGACAGAGAAGGTTTTCCTTTGAAATCTCAGTGTTCCCTTGCATTAACTTCCGTTGAGGAAGCCATTGTTCTCTGTGCTAGGGCGCCTGTAGAATGGACACTGTAAAAGATCTTTTGCTCTTTGAGACTTTTCATGCAAATGAGTTGAATTATTGTCTCACATGAGAGTTCTTTAGTTTCAGCCTGTGCCTGTGCCATGATGCACGCGTTGCAGCGCGTCTCGGCCCAGGTTTGGGAAGACCTATGCAGTCGGCAGATTTTGCCAACCACAGCATCTTGTTTGCCAGTGTTACAAGATGATGAAATTGAAACTCTCATCCTCTTGGAGCCAGAGAACAATGCCACCCAACACACTCTGTGTGTTGAGTTTCACCCTTGCCTGGACTTGATTTCATTTGAGAGGAAGCCTTTTCCTTCTTCTGAAGGTAGGCCGTTGTTAATCTGCATGTAAAAAAAAAAAAAATTATGTGCATTGAAGAGCATACAAGGACCTGCTAATCGGAGATCCTGATAGGCTAGCGCCCTGTTACAATATATGGAATTTGATCGTGCAGATGTCCGAGGAAGGTCATGGGTTGGTTTGAAATCTTTTGTACTTAAAGTGGCTCTCTTGCCCCTCCCCCACTCCCTCCATAGCCCTGAAAGCTTAGGGAAACAGCATTTAAATGGTTACAAGAGTTGTGCCCCCTAAACCAAAGTCTAACTTGCTTATCCTGGGACTCCAGCTGTGCAGCTGCCCCACGGATTTGTAATGCCAAAGACTTTGTGAGCGGGGCTCTGTCAAGCCCAGTCTCTTGGTCAACCCTTGGCTGGGGGAATTTGGTTACACGGTCCCACTCATCATTTGCACAAAAGACAGGAGCTAGCGTTGCATCTAGCTTTTAAACCAGAAACAACCAAAAAGTAAAAGATAACCATTTCTAACAGATTCTCTCGTTTCTATTTTTACAATGAGGGCTTCAGAGAAACCTCTTTGGCCAGATAAACTGATAGTTAAAAAACAAAGCACCCATTTGAACCCATTTTGCAAAATCATTGAGTTTCACAGCTACAGAGACAGCTTCTGAGTTGGGGGTGGAAGGCACGACCACTCTTCCAAAACAACCCCTACAAAAAGGTACATTCTAACATTCTACATATGTAAGACTACCTTGTATACCGTTCTGCTTTGAGCAACAATAAAGTAGTAATCTGACTACAAGAATGAAGTAAAACTATTATCTGAGTACAGTAGATAAGGACAGGACAAAGAAAACATACCCTTCTCATGCCAAATAGAAACCAAAGGAATCCCAAGCCCTTTGGGATTTTTGTTATTGATGTTTTTATTGCTAACACGGAAAGCCTTGTGTTTCCTCCGGTGGATCGGAGAATCCCAGCTTCGTTTTTTGCTTTTTGTTTTTATTTAATCTTTTGTGGTTGGAAGCCAGCTCTGTAAAAGACTGTAGCCACCATGCTTTCCCTCCTTCCACTCTGAAATTGGGAAATTCCTTGTTTAGGCAGAGCACACAAAAGGTGTGTTCCTGGAGGGGGGGGGGGGCGTGGAGAAAAGCCTGTTCTTTAACTCCCCGTCAGAGGCCTTGCAGGCTAACTCCTCAATTGCGGCTGAAGGTTTTGAGCTGCACTTCTTTTTTTTTTCTTAAGCTCAAAACCAAGATAGGCCTAGGTATGTGTAATTTGTAGAGGGTTTAACATGTAACATTTGCTAGCCTGTTTTTAAAGGAATCATTACAATATTTAACCCTAGAAGAGTAATTGACTGATTTGTAGCAGATGTGTAGATGGTCACATCCAAGTCGGGGAGCATTTCTTATTAAGAACAGCAAGCTTGATAGAATGGGGATTTTTCTTTTCATATGTATTTTCAAGAACATACCCCTGAAAGAAGTCATGGCCAGTTTTTCATTGTTATCCGCCAGAACTGGACTGAAAAACAGATTCCATACTTAGTCTTTGTTTGTGATCTCAGACTTTCTGTGGGAACACCTCCTTCCCTTTCCGGAGCTTCAGCGCAGAACACCCCCCCACCCCCCACCCCCAGTAAAGGCCTTTGACTAGAAGACCTGGGGGGGGCACTCCTTCCTAGTGGGCAGCACTTTAGGGGGCTCCTAAATGTTTCAATGGCCTCAGGTCCTGAGGAGTGACTAAATACATTAATTCTTAACTCTGCCTATCTGGTAAATCAATGACAGCTGGCCTTATTCAAAGGAAGAAGGAAGGTGAGGACAAGAGCAGAGGTGATGTCTGTAAGCTCTGCCTTGAAGAATCAAGAGAGTCAGAAGTATGGGGCTTGAGGGAAAGTTAAGAGTTCTGTTCAGAAATGGTGGTGGGAAGAACTCTGCTGAGAACCGAAAGATGCTCCTCTGACCCTTTGCTTCTGACTCCCGTGACAACCCATGCTCCAGCTTGTTTCCAACTACTGAGTCCAGGAGGAGGGAATGAGAAAGTGTGGAAAGCATCTGAGGGAAGAAAATGCCATGGGGCTCCATCCGTGGATATGACCCCCCCCTCCCTACCCCCCCCCCCCCCCCCCCGTCCTCTACCAACATCAAAAGACCTTGGGGTTCCCAGGTTTCAAGCCTTGGAGTCTTAGTTCCTTCCTGGAGGGGATCTTATGGGTGAATCTCCTGCAGTGAAGACCATGCCTGGGCACTGTGTTGTATCTTCATCTTAGCCTCCTACCTGCCCCCTGCATCCGTCCATGCCATCTGCAGATGCCACAGTGTTCTGTGCATCCCGTGGGTGGCGTGAATTCGTTGAATCCTCAAGCACCGAAAAGTAAATATGTTCTCAGTAAAACTAAGGTCTTCTGCCACTGGCGTGGATGCCGTCGGGTTTTGTTTTCCTCAGGGTGTACACTTCTAGCCTCTAGCTGCAGAGAATGTGTGGGGAGGAGGAGACCTGAGTGCCCATGCTGGCCTTACACATACACATCACAATATCCAGCTTTCTATGTAGGTTCTCGGGTGCAGGAACGTGGACCTTCAGGCTTACACAGCTGACACTTGGAACCCCTGAGCCATCTCTCTAGACACTTCCGGGAATTCTGACTTCTGGTCCCTCACTGCAAATTGCCTCTATCTCCGGTTAATGACAGTCCTTGGGAACTGTCTGGCAAGAGGGTATAGAATACATTCCCCGGGGAAACCAAAGTCAGAGTAACGAGTGCTGGGAAGACTCGGCCCTCTGGGTGCGTTTGACCCCACCTCGTTCCAAGAGCCATCTAGTGCCAGAGCCCTGTCCTTGAGGCCTTTCCCCATGGCCGACACTGGGGGTGAACTTCTTTCTAATCCTGCCTTGGGCACTCCCCCACAGATGTGATCCAGAGGTTGTTTGATCGATCCTCCTTTTCCAGGTAATTATAGTTCAAGGCATACCGTCTCAGAAACAGCTCTCGCTGGTTGTATCCATCCTTCACTCTTATCCACTCCATCACCAGACCCTGTGAGAATCCCCATGCCACCTCCATCCCCACCCTGTTGATTACAATCCGACTGTCCATGTCCGTCGCCCACCTTCAACCTCCAGCCCCTCCAGTCAGTTTAGATATGATCACTACCAGCTCTCCTCATCTCCAGCCTGGCCAGCTTCCATAGCAGCCTCCATGCTGATGCTCTAGGAGTCTTTCTAAGGACACCATCCCCCCATCCCTCTGCTCAGACCTTTGTGCCACTCCTCATTAGACTGTAAACATAACTTAGGAGGGTTTCCATCCTGTAACCCATTACAGGGCCTCCCCTGCCTCATCCGCTGAACACTGTAAGAACCAGGCTTGGTGAACATTCCGTTCTTTGAATGTGACCTACTTCTACGTGCTGTCAAGTCTAAGCATGTCATGTTCCCTCTTTCTGAAAGAGTCTCTGGCCTTCTCCACTTTTGTCTGACTAACACCTGGGTAGCTTTAGGTCTAAATGTATGTCATTCACGGAAGCCCTCCCTGGTTTCTCAGGTTTGAGGAACTCCTAACATACACTCACTCCTAAGTCCCTTTTTTTTTTCTTCTGTAATTTTATTTCATGTGTTTTGTCTACAAGTATGTCTGTGCACCAAGTATGTGCCTGGTTCCTCTGGAGGCCAAAAGACGGTATCAGATCCCCTGAAACTGGATGGTTGTATGCAGCCGTGTGGGTCCTGGGAATCAAACCTGGGTCCTCTGGAAAAGCAGCCAGTGCTTTTAACTGCTGAGCCATCTCTCTAGACCCACTAATTTGCCTTTTTACATGGTATGTAAATTTTATATAACTCTGTCACCATGAGACAAGAAGCCTGTTAAGGACAGAGATGATGGCATGATGGGTCACATCGGATCCCCCTCCACACACCCTGCTCTCCACAACTCCATGCAATCACAATTAGCTTGACATTTTAAAGTAGTCATTTGGAGCATTAGATTAGCAGCTATACAGATTTTGTTTTGTTTTGTTTTCTGCTAGTATTTAAAGATAAAAGATGAAGGCTAGGTAGTGGTGGTGGCACATGTCTTTAATCCCAGCACTTGGGAAGTAGAGGTAGGTGGATCTCTGTGAGTTCCAGGCCAGCCTGGGCTACAGAGTGAGTTCTAGGACGGCCAGGACTACACAAAGAGAAACACTATCTCGAAAAAAGATAGATAGGTAGATGGATGGATGGATGGATGGATGGATGGATGGATGGATGGATGGATGGGGGAAGATGATCAAATCCTTTATAATTTTCTGCTAAACTTTTTGATAAATATTTGAAGTCTGTTTTGAGGTTTTCTTAAGGAAACATTGGCTACGTCTAGACTTTTTTGTTCTGTTTTTCCTGGGGTCTCACTGTGGGCTGGGGTGATGTTGGAAGCAGTAGATAGTAATCAGACATGGGGAAATAGCTGAGACTGCAAAGTGTCTGCCACACAGCATGAGGGACCTGAGTTTGGTTCCCCAGCACCCGGGGAAAAGCTGAGTCTGTAATCTCAAGGCTGGTGGGGGCGGGGACAGAGAGGAGGCTCTCTGGGGCTCCATGGTCAACGAGCCTAGCCAAAGGGATGGACCCGGGTACAGCAAGTGACCTTGTTTCAAAAAGAATAAGAGCCACACGTGGTAGCGTACACCTTTAATCCCAGCACTCAGGAGACAGAGCAGGCAGATCAATGTGAGTTTGAGGCCAGCCTGTGAGATTGGGTTCTAGGTCAGCCAGTGAGAGCCTGTTTACAAAAACATAAAAAAATAAAAATTAACACAGTAATGAACCATGTGTAAGACCAAATGGGTTTTCCAAGCTGTAAACCTACAATTTTCTAGGACTCTCACAAGAAACCCATTTACAGGGAGAGACATGTTTGAGCCCCAAGTGCAGCCTCCAAGGCACTTCCTGAGCCGCCCTAAATCTCTTTTCTGTGGCAATAAAAAGAGAAAAGTTTCTGTTGGCTCCGTGTGAGGGTAGTCTGTCATGGTGGAGAACA